GTAAACGTTTGGTTGAATTAAGTTACTAAGAAAGAAAAAAATGAAACTTTGGCCCGGCCAGGATAACTCGGTGGAGGGTTGTCTCGGTTGCCTGACACCATACAAATGGGCCTTAGACGGACACAATGAAGAAGAAGACACTTAAACTGTTTCCTTTGGTCGACCATTTTCTCTCATATGTAACCTTCCTAGTTGTCACAAGGGAGACTGGTGAGGGGAAAGCTATGACAAATCACAACTCCAGGGAAACGCTAAGTAAAGTTGTCTCGAGGAGGAGGATTCTCTCGGGTACCCGAGACCACATAAACAAGGCCTCTTTGTTTAGTAAACGTGACAAAATGAATAAAATATTTCTTTCTGTTATCTTCACTTCAAGGAAGAACCAGAGCGCAAACTTAGAATATGCGAACACAAACGAAGGAGTTTAATTTGTTGTCACTAATTTCAAGGAGATTAATACGCGTTATTAATTTTTTTTATGAGTTTGTTTCTGTTATCTTCACTTCAAGGAAGAACCAGAGCGCAAACTTAGAACATGCGAACACAAACGAAGGAGTTTAATTTGTTGTCACTAATTTCAAGGAGATTAATACGAGTTATTAATTTTTTTATGAGTTTGTTTCGGGAGTAAATATTGTTAAAAAAGAAGACAACTTGATAAGTCCTATCTTCTGAAGGAAATATCATATAAGAACTTTTCCAATATTGTAAAACTGGAAAGTAAAATTTCAATCATCTGCTACTATTAAATTCATGTAATAAACCGGAAGCAACAATTTATTTTTCGTAGCAATGACATGTAAGGCGAAAAAGCTGTCATTTTGTTTGCCCTCAGACCGCTGATAACTGACTGAACAAAGTTTAATGAACACTAATCCTTGTCTATAAAAAAGGAAATCAGACAAAATTAAAAATCGCTCGTGGTAGTTAACGATAACGACTTTTAGCCGAGGAGGATTGTAGCAAGTTGATGAGTTTCTCGTTGAATCAGCATTATATCATTAAGAAAAAACTTAATGAAAGCCGAGAACAGGTGCATAGTAGGGTCAAGGCCGAAATCACTTCCAGTTTACTGAGTCAGTGTCAACCTTACAGTCACGTACATCCCTCTGAGCCCAGCTTTAGGCATTGAAATGTTTCTTCATTTTCAACGTTTAATTAAAGGCCTGTTTCAATTAGCGTCCATCAGTCCCTCCTTGGCGTAAAAGCTGTACTCTAGTTAAATTCAAGTTAATCAACACTTTTTCAGTGTTCAGCACAACGCTGATCTAATAAAGAAGCTCATTTGCCATAATTTCGACTGCATGCATTGTACCCACTGAGCCATAAAAAAAAACACTTTTCTATGGATCGCGAGTGATTTTACCCACTAAGGACCGAATCTGCTCGACCATACGAGGTAAATTAACAAAGTCTCGAAGCTTTCACTGAGAGGTTTTCAGCTCAAAGATTTAAATGTCAGTCTTGTAGTTAAATGGTTTTTGTGTATAATGAAAGCTTACGAAAACACTGTCATAGTGCTCCGAGCGAAGATACTCTGCATTATACAAAAAAACAGCTGTTTCGTTCAAGTGCAGTCGTGCTTTTGTGAGGAAAGTTAGACTTCGCCCTTAAGAGAGCTATTAACAAGCTCATTCAGACCTATCTAACATGCTAGTTAAATATGCGCCTTTTCTTGCAATGCACGGAGCGGAAAGGGTCACTTAGAAAAAACTAAATATTATAATAATATTGGCTTTGTAAAGAATGTTATTCCGATATTTCTAAAAATCGTATTTTCAAGATTCGATAAAGTTCTAAAAATCGTGGTTTCGAGCTGGTGAATTTTAAAAGTTCTTTCAAGGTTAATCAGAGTCTTTTCTATTTTCTCTCTGTGAATTGAAGTCATCAGTTTTTGCCATCAAAGAATTACCGAATCACTGTTTGGCAGTTTAGGTAATAATTTAGTTCTGTAATGAAGTGTTATGATTAGTTGTGTGTAAAATCAGTCACGGGCAAACTCGTATTAAAAACTATTTACAGCAAACTGCAATTTTCAACATCAAGTTATAGCTGATGAGCCGTATATACAAACACCTGTCAGTTTTTGGAACAAATCTAGCGGTGTAAACACTTCATTTGCGCGGTACCGCCAAAAGATCTAAGAACCATCGAGTTGGCAATTTCTACAATTTCATAAAATATTTAAAAGGTCTCTCACCATCAGGCCCTCGAGCTCTCTATTTATGGCTATTTTTATGGCTATTAGCCGCTTTTTGTCGAAAGTCTTCTAATTATTTTGGATTTTTTTCTTTTCCACTGAATCTTAGAAAAAGTCATTGTTTATTCGGCAACGGAGAGAACAAACAGCTTTCTCTTCTCGATTCTTCAGTTAAGTTTAACGCAAGGCTGCAAGAAATATTTGAAACAATTGTAATATTATGTTACTTTTTACTATTATTTTTTTACATCATTTTTCAGGATTACTACAAATGCTTTTCCCGACTACTTGAAAATGATTCAGTAAATGAAATGTCACCACCATGACGTGAATCAGTTCGAAAACAGCTTTTCCACACCCAGAAGGCAAATTTAGATTTTAAATTTAAGGTATTGCGGTTAATTTGCCAAAATTTAAATGGCTTTCTATGCAAGGGGATTTCCAAAGAAAATAAAAAATAATAATAATAATAATAATGAAAAAGGCTAAAACATAAAACAATCACGCAAGGCCTTTGAAAACTCAAAGTACACAATGAGAACCACTGGTGAACTTGGAGAATTTAACCACCTCAGAGAAAAACAATTCTTGTTTTTCATTTATACACTAACGTTACGGTACGCCCTTTTTAGTTAATGAAGCTAAGAATGTGTGCTGTATACCAACGCGTAGAAATCTCGCACTAATTCTCTATGAAAGAATTTCCTTTTGAAATCCCTCAGTGATTGATTAATCTTAGTTCTATTACGAAGCACTGAACAGCGAATGCCTCATTAAAAACAACTCATTTGGAAGGCTGGAGATCAGGTCTTTTTTGTGAACTAATTTGACTTCAAGCAGCTCTCCGACAACACTCAGTGGTGACAAAGGCTTTTCGGCCTTAGGGTTGCATTGGGGTAATGGTTTTGGACTAAGACATTACCGTTTCGTTGGGAACGATGCGATTTTCCACGTGTACGTCGGCAGCCTTTAGAGGAAATCAGACTGTTAAATTCTCATGCTTTCTACCACAAACCAACATTGTTTTTAAAATTTCTTTTTCCAAGAGCCTGGCTCCCGGACAATTTCTCAGGAGTGCGAAAGAGAATTTTCATAAATTGATAGAGATAAAATCACTTACAGAAGGCTATAGAGTAAAGGTTTAAAAAATTGGTGGCGGGTTTTTTCGTTTGCATCTAAGTTTATTCTTCCCCAGTGTAAACGCCGAATAATTTGTCAGAATGTGTCCGGGGTTGTTCAAATTCTTCACCCGTGGAAAAAAAAAAAGAGCGAATATTTGCCGATTTTTGGTAGATTCTTCTCGAAGAACCTATAGACTTTTGCACTTTTTGGGTCAGCACTTTGTAACACCGGCCACGTTTAATTGAGTTGGGGGTATTTCTTTTGTAAACCAGCGGACGAACGCGGCCTCATAAATAAATTCAGATTTCTTTTCATCTGATTAAATTGAGTTATTTTGACGACAGCGCAGATTACTCCCTCGGTGTAAAAAATACAAATTGCAAAATGTATTGAAATCTGAAGTCAACAAAAAACATTCCGACTTAACGGTTTTGTAGCAAGAGAATTCAAACAGGAATAATTGTATTGGATTATCCATCGACCATTATTATAAAGAGGAACTAATAACTTATTGCTGAATAAAATCTACTGCAAATTGTCGGAAAAAAACTTACATAAAATTAGTTTCGTTCATTTGCAAAACAAGCCAACTTCAATATGTTGTTGACGATTAAACAAAGTAACATATCAAAAGGAAAAAGTGTAATTTAAAATTTTCGGCTCTATCGTGCATTGAAAACAAAGGAAGCTATAAGCTGCCAGGTCTGATGCACTTGAGAGGTATCTAATATATTCTCAGCTCATAAACTCTTCGATCGGTCTTTCAGTCGCACCATGGGACATTTCATTGTTTTCTCTATGAGTGACAACTTGTCAAATATCCTCTCACGCTCACTTCCAGCTTGACATCTCATGCGGTTCTCTTCCGAGGAGCACTGACATGGTTTCCTAGACAAAAGATAAAAAATCTTCAAGATCTTTTCGAGTCATGAAATAAGCAACTCTATAGCTCCTCAGAGCTTGAATATGGTAATATCACCGGGGAACATAATACCCTCTTGTTTTTTAAACACTCGCCAGGATTCAGGTGGCTAAGGTCTTTGATAATGTCAGCTAAAAGGCTTTTACGAAAAAAGGGCTTTAACAACAAACTGTTAATCCTGGCTTTTTCTTCCTCGATTGAAATGTAGCAGGCTGGATATTTTCTTGTCGCAAATCAGCTTTGCTTTTGCTTTGTAAACATGCCGTTCTAAAGAGCGAAGGAACAAAAAGATGCGCTTTTAACCCATGTTACATGATGTTTCAATGTTTACTTTCAAATCCCCGCGCTAAGCTCGCTTCAGTCACTAATTAAGTGTAAAAAAAATTGACTGCTTGTCCGCACAGAATGATGAAAGACGACGGACCGATTCAGAAAGTTGGAAAATATCGCGAAACAAAGGAATAAAAGTTGAATGCGGCTTGGGGGATAACTTGATGTGTTTTTGCGGGGTCTAAGGGAACTCTTCGTCAATTCATTATTTAGATGACCGCCGTTTGATAGATAATATAGCTAATAATACAGCCGTATAAAGAAGTTTGACATTTAGGTGTCCTGAGGCTTGATTGACAGCTGCGGATTGATCGTTAAATTTCCTTCGCATTATTTCTCTGTTGAGGACAATAGCTAATTATAGCTAAATGAAGATAAAAGTGATTGCAGGAATATTAAAGCTATCCAGATATATTGGGCCGCCGTGAAGTGAATATCGCATCCATCACCAAGGGAAGACGGGTCAAAAGTCTTATTAGGAATCGCCTGGGTGATTTTTCATCAGCCTCTAACATCATGAGCCGCGAAGTACAATTTTGTTTTGCTATTCCGCGCGCCGAGGGATTTCCTCCTGTCAAACGTTCTTCCCAGATTCACTCGTTTGCTATTCAGGACATCCTTGGTCTTAGCGAGAAGAGCTCAAAACCGAAGGCGGCAAGTCACCAAAGTGTGAGCCTTGTAAAATGCTTTTCGCCGGTTTCAGCCCGATTAGAGGCTCAGAATGCCGACCACGAAAAGGCTTCTGCACTACCAGGTGAGTGTCTGCCACAATTTCTACTTTGTTATCCCAAGATCAGATTTCGTTTAACTGCATTTTAAACACCCCTTCTACGGCTGTTTTAGTGAGCTGTTCCGCTGCGGTCGTCGGTGTCTTGATTGGAACAAATGATCGAAAGTAATGGTTTGTAATGCCCTAATTAACAACTGGTGTTCATTTCAAGCCTTAGCAGACAGATTCGTCAAACCGTCGGGGATTTCTTTCCGTTATCTTTTTCGAGTAATTCCGTGAATTTGCCAGAAAACTTTATTCTCAAAAGACTTCACAATGAAATAAATTTGGTTTCCGGACGATAGATAGTACAAACCTAGGCTGGATTTACTTCAAAATGTTTGATTGCATTTTAATGGATTTCTAACTGAACGCAACAAACTCCGGAAAAAACAGCTGCCACGCTTATAATATAGTAGAGTTTCACAAGAAATTTACTAACGCTTGTATGTTTCATTCCGCTATTTGTGTTTTGTATTACTATAAGAGTTTTTCGCGTTCTGTCACAGCGTATAAATTTGTGGATAACAATTCTGTTTAGTTTCTATTAAAATGAAAATGGCAGATTTATTCCAGTGAGAGACTGCTAATTCGCAGAAATATCAACTCCTTCAAGGCGTCTAAATGGAAAATCATTTCATCCTTAGATCATCACGGGACAGACAGTAGTAAAATTGACAAGTGCCTGTACCTGAAGGGAGACAAAACTACGGCGAATAAGAAGGCACCCAAAAAGCGTCGACATCGCACTATTTTCACAAATTATCAACTAGAAGAACTGGAAAAGGCTTTTAAAGACAGCCACTATCCTGACGTGTATGCGAGGGAAAACCTTTCTGCCAAAATCGAGTTACCCGAAGACCGAATTCAGGTATAGTTAAAAATATTTATATATTTATTTATTTTCTACTTTTCCAAAAACATTCCAACGACAAGCGGGGGAAAAAATCCCTGAGGAAGGCTCAGTCGGCCTTTAAATTTTTAATTAGTATATTTTTTTGATTTTTGATCACCTTCCTTCAGTGCGTGGCTCAAAAAGAAGACATCTGCCTTAGCGACGCAAAGTAATGCTTTTGTACCGACGATCTGATGAGCTTCTTATGCAGATAGAACGTCCTGGAAAAAATTGAAATGAAACTGAAAAAAAAAAAACAACTCTGCGTTGATTAAAACACAAACGATTCGCGGCGTGTAAATGCTTTGCCCATCTCACCGAATTTGTTTTGTTCGCCACGATGGTGAAAGCTCCGGGAATAAAAATTAGTCCGCAATTGGCATTCATTAGTGTTCATTAAAGTTATGAACTCCTTTTAATTACCGTAATTATACGCCGACCTGATTTCAGAGCCGCAGGTGTTTCTGATTTGACAACAAGCGAGGTTTTCAATGATTCTTCATTTTTTTTCTGAAATAATAATGATGATAATAAACCGAGATCAAGACTCACGTCAAACAAGGGCTCGTAATCTTGAATACTATCTAAAATCCACACTTGAGGTAAATTAAAAACCAAAAAATTTGAATTTTTTTTCTCACCATAAACCGAACAAAGCGTTCAACAAATGGTGCCAAAAATATTGTTAGTATATTAGCTATTGTAAAAAAATCGGCGGAAAAACGGTCTTTAAATGTATGCTTTCCAAAATTGGAGGGAATCTTTATGCGACGGAAAAATACATCGGAAGTTGAACAGAAAAAGGAGCAAGCCGGTGTGCAATTGAAAAATTTTAATTGCATGCCATTTTTTTTCTTTGAACTATGTCGCCTTTTTGTTGAGCGGATTCACTTTTTCCTCGGAATTTAAAATTTTACATATTTGGTGGTCGGTAATTGCTTTCTTAATTATAATTCAACGACCTTTTCGGTATAGCCATCAAGTTGATTTAGCGCCCTTAAATTTTTATTATTGCGTAAATATAGCATATTATACGAGTATATGGCGGCGGAAATATACTGCGATAACATGCCATAAAGAGAAATAAAAACTAACAGGAAACACATACAGTTCTAATGAAGTTTGCACGAGGGTGAAAACTAACTTGTCTATATTTCATTCTCAAAGTTGACATGAATCAATACTAAAGTTTGCAAAAGAGTCTTTTCATCTGTCACGGTTTGCAAGTTAAGGTATATTGGGCTAATGTAAGAATTTGACTTAGGAAAACATCCTTCAACCACATTTCCTAAAAGGAGACATTTTGCCGGTGGGTTTACGTTTAATTTGGAGCCTAACAGCCTTTTCAATTATACACTTGCAATGTCTCACAAGCACGTTTGTGTTGGGAAGTTTTTGTTTTTCGTTATCATTACATCGAGAATTAAATGAAAGAAAATTTGACAAGCCCGTTTCTCACAAGTACTGTTGTAATTACTTTTTAACAGAATCCTCAAACACTGCCGGAAAACCTCCACATTTCAATAAGCTTTGACAAACAATGATTAGCGAGTTAGGTTTCGTCTCGAATTCTCCTTTTTATCAGTCTCTCGACTTTCCTCAATCTTTGAATGAGCATTGATCTACGTGCATGATAACAGGTTTTCTCTCGATTTTCTTTTATTTCAAAAGCTGACAAAATTTCCGCGTAGAATACAAATTTGCGTCGCGTCACAGCAAAAGAACGCGTTCATTTCGCTGCCACTGAGAAAAACAAGTTTAATTCTCCTTGACAGCATTTGTAATTGTTACTTGTGATGAGATTCAAACTGTGTTTTCCCGCTGAGATAGTTTAAGGCCGTTGTTTCAGTCAGGATTAATAACTCTATTCAGCTGTCTTGGCAAGCGAATTAGTAATCTTACACTGACCGTGCTAGCGATTGATCTGTGTATTACGATATCAGCTGAATCATTTTAGCACGCACGGATGAATCGGGAGCGTTTTCATCACCAAAGAACTCCCGGCGCGGGGGCGACTGAAAAATGCATTTGACCACTTCAACCTCGGCGAGTTTGGATCCCCTTTAGGAAATGACAACAGCGGACTCTGGGCTTGGGTTTGAAGTTAAAAATTAGAAATAAACACTTTGTAAAAATTTAGACTGAACTGCTAAGAGAAGTCCATAAACTTTTCGCTGCTAATCAAAACAATCGATTTGTGCTGGAGTTCACCGCCCGTAAACAAATTGAGTGCGCGCTCGAAATACGTACTTCGTTATTAAACTACCCATCTTCATTTATTTCAAGGACTGAAGACAGTCTTTCTAATTAGAACCTTTGCCATACATAATGTTGTCTCCGTACTGTAAATTCGTTACCAGTTTTATACAAGGAAATCTCCATTTTCGGTTCGATTTGATTTTTCTAAACACCGCGTCCCCGTTTTAATTACCGTTGCCCAGAAGAGTAAATAATTCGATGTTGTTTCGAGTTTTCTAGCTAATCATTAAAACCTTCAGTGATATCTCTGATTTATAAGCAAGCCAATTTTCGCATGCTTGAGCCATAGGCTTACTCTTTCAGCCAAGATACAATCAAAGAAGCTGCGAAGCGGCGCCATTGTTTATAATGTTTTTTTCCAAATTGCCAAAACAGACAATCTAATAAGAAAACGGCTTAATTTCTTTTTTGAGAAATTGATGAAACATTCAAGAAAACCTAAAGAAAGAGAGGAACACGGTGTTGATTTAAAACAGCGTGCACTCCAAAACTTGCCTTTCAAGTACGTGTGTTTTACGGATAAATTTCCACTCTCCGGAAAACACCACGCTAAGTTAGATGAAGCCCTTAGGTCATATCAGAGATCTTTTAATATTTTGTTTGTTATTTTACTCTGTGTCCTTGCCTATTGGCTCTATTGTAAAGCTAATTTAAACGAGGCAGTGGCTACCTCTTGAAAGAAATTCTGAGGTTGTTTTGACTGCATTTAAAACTAACTAGCTTTATATCCGACGACCAGAAGCAGCTTCAATTTGTGAAAACATACAGAAGGAAAAAATGAAAACCATGAAAGAAAACTCTCTCCAAAATTATTAAAAGTTATATAACTTCAAAAATAATACAACGAACGTGTTGTGGTCAAATCATACTGTTGTTCGTCACAATTTAAACAATAGAAGCTTGAACTGCTCATAAATTTCCTCCATCGTTTCTATCCGCTAGATGTTCCTTTCAGTTCAAAATTGCATGGTAAAATAACTAAAAAGGAACTTCTTAAAACAAGACAGTAGCTAAGGAAAATTGTTATTGTTACAACAAAAGTATATCAAAAATTAACGAAGTCGTTTTCGTGGGTGCGTGTTACAACTTCCGCCATCTTGCACATTTGCGACCGTAAACTTCTGGGCTACACACATATTCGTACATCTTCTCCGTAGAACTTATGCTTTTGCTGAATATAACATTCACCAATCAGTGCTAATAAAAAACATCATTAGAGAAACTATAATTAGGCTTGAAATAAGTTTCCAAATTGCCTTGGTCGAAAATATCACAGAGGAGACAACAAAGAAACATTGGTTAAGATTGTAAGTTAGTAGTCGGCAGAAAGTAGAAAAAAAACGTTTTAAAAGATAGAAATATTTATCAAGAGTAAAGACTTCAAATCTACTTTATAAATTTCATTTTTTGTTTCAGGGATGAAAAACTGCACGACTTTCGTTAGTTGTATAATTCCGGCAGTTCACCTGCTTTTTTTTTCGACTCAAAATGTTTACCCAAACTACTTCAAGTCAGCTTATAAACTACCCATTTATGTCCAGCTGTTTGGAACGGTTCGCGAGCGCTTATAAAAATCCTCCTGCAATCATAGTTCGAAAAGTGAAAGACGTGAACTTTTAAGTAACGCCGCAAAACGAAAATTGTTTATACTAAATTTGTCGTTGAACAGTATGGCGTTGGTCGGTTAGGGCTTGTTTTAAATCAACATGACAATCAAAACGAACTAAAGGTCTCGTAAATTTTGCTCCAGGCGATGTGGAAGAGTAATGAAACTAGTTTATATGCGGTAAAATTAATAGACTCGTCATGAAATCGAAGTTGAAAAGAAACTGTTGCTCAGAATTTGCATCCAAATTTTCAGGCTAGAAATTAAGGCTTAGAGACATGACAGAAAGCCTACAAATGAAGATTCAAATGAAAATGGAAAATAAAGAAAAAAAAAAGACTCCAAAAAAAAAATGTTCCACTTATTCCAAATTAATAAATTTCAATTAAAAATTTGCTTCTCAATGAAAAATGCCCTGAATCTCAAAAAATTAATCACTTCCTGAACATGTTCGATAAATTTCACGATTTCAGGATACTTATTAAGACTTAGAACTAGACTCACTCCGTTTGCATGTTTGAACACAACAATGTTGCAAAAAATAAACGGAAAATGTATAGTTTAGCGCGTATAGACTGCTTTTACTGTTTAGAAATGCCTGATTAGTTTATGACAAAAGTATTTGCTTCTTTTGGAGACAATTTATCTCGTAAATCGCAGTCTTTTGTTCATCAAATTCTGCGCAAAAAAAAAAATTTTAAAAGAAAAAGCACAAGGTGAAGCTTAAATCAAACTAACAAAGAGCAAGGTGCATTTCGACAAATTTTTTTCTTATCAGCATCTTTTCTTTATTATTTTTCGCGTCGTGGTGGCCGACAAGTTATTAACTATTTTTGGCCTTTTCGAGGACAGAAGAAGAAAAAAAATGAGTAATTTTAATCACAAAGCTGGGAAAACTATCTTCCGTTCTTTTGTCAGAAAGGCTTACTAATTCAAACCCATTTAAAAGTTTAAGCGTGTGGCCACGTTTCTTGTTTTCAAGGGTTTCTGTGTTTGCATGCCGTGCGCCGAAAGAATAAGTTTTAACTGAAAACTTTGCACACTTCAAAATGGGAAAGGCTGTTTGTCTCTGATAAATCAAACAATCATTAACAAAACAATGCCATTTAGGAATGAATAGATGATAAATATTCTACACAGTCTTTTTTCTGTCTTCTCGGCAGATTATAACCTTGACTTTTAGGTCTTTACGAATCGGCAATAAATCTAGCTTACATAACTGTAATGCACGAAGCAAAATGGACTCCTTAAATTAAACAGCTTTTAACTTAAAAATAAAAAGTAAAAAAAAAAAAAACCAGTTAAGTTATAATTACTGATAGAAATAATTTTCTTTTCCGTTACCTTTTTTTGTTTTTTTTTTTTTGGTGGAATCATTATGAGAATCTATCGTTAATTAATCGTTGCCCTCTCTCTCATGGTCATGAAAATTTCGAGAGGAAACTAAACAAAACTCTGATAAAATATTCTCCTTTTACAACATTCAAGGCATATAATGAAAACCTGAAACTATGAAGACGCTGTTTTTCTGCGGCCTGAGTTACAATTGCTTTGAGTTTAGCTGTTTTGGCGGTCTTATTGCAAACACAAAAGAACAAATTACGAAAACTCCCAGTAATACGACACTAACAAGCAAAAACAAAACATTATTAGTTTTGAAAAGCGGGCCTTCATTGTATAAACTTGCTCTTCAGGCAATCTAGATCACTAAAGATCATTACGATTAATTTTAGAACAAAACGTGCCCATAAATAAGGTTTTGATAGCTATATAAACTTACTTTTAACGACCTCACGCATACTCAACAAAATCACTAATTCGTACAATAATGAAGCCTTCCACAACAGGTCATTAGGCATAAAATTAACACATAAACAGCGCTCGAAAAGCAGAGATTAATTGAAGCACCAAGTAAACATTGCTTTCTTTTTAATAACGTAAAATTCCTGGGTTGCACACCGCCAGCATATTATGAAAAAAGTGAACAGATTTCCGCTTCGATAAGTCGAGTCTGGGATTACAGAAATTGGACAGGAGCAAGTTTCTTATTCGGTTCAGAGCGACATGAACTGTTATGAAATAGGAAGTAAATTTATCGGATTGGAAAATTAATAACTGGAAAGTTTATCCCGGCAGCCTTGGAAGGAAGATAACTCTGCTTATCTCTGTTTATTAGTTTCAAGTTCAAAGAAAAGACTTCCTCGAATGAACAACAAAGACGTCGTTTTCTTTAATTTATTCTTGGCCTTTATTTTCCAAACTGTCTTAGACCTTCCGTTTAGAGAGCCTTCTTTTAGCACTTTGTTTACAATTTACGTTTAAAGAGGCTCTTCTTACCTTGTTAAAACTCACTGCGAATAATCAAAATTTTCAATATTCTTATAATAGGGGAGCCTGTTTTTTAAGTTGATGCTATTTTGTTTGAAAATATAAATCTCAATTTCCTCTTTCATAAAAACGTTATCAGAGATATCTATACTAGATGCATGTAGTCAGTTATATGTTAAGGAACGCTATATATTTGACTTTGTTTAACAACAATTTGTCTCGACTGCAAAAAGCCTCAACCAGAGTTGCATGAATAATTTTCCGCGACATTTTTTAGAAACACGAGGACTGTGCTTTTCGAAAATCATCGAAAATGAGTTTTAAATAGAAATCTTTGATCTTATGTAGAATGAAAATGAAGGTAGATGTATTCTTAAAATTAAAGTTTTGATTTTGTCATGAGAGAATTTTCAATCGAGTTTGGAAAAATTATTCAGGAGTAAATTGCTTTTGTTTTCCAAAGTGTTTTGCGCTCTCGAATTCGGTTCCTCACTGAACTTATATAACTTATGGAACAAACACTCCTTCTTTAAATCATTTTTGCCTTGCTCGCCTTTTCCAAAGATCTTTACGAGCCCAAACTAATGGAGTAACTCTTATTTTCACTTCGTCAGGTCTGGTTTCAAAATCGACGGGCAAAATGGCGAAAGAAGGAAAAGTGTTGGGGTCACAGCTCCATAATGGCCGAGTACGGGTTGTATGGAGCGATGGTACGACACTCCTTACCCCTTCCCCCTCATCTCACCTCTAACTCGGCCCCATGGCTGCTCGGCATGCATAAAAAAGCAAAGCTCATGGAAGATAAAATCACAACATGTGTAAAATCAAGGTAGAGACTTCGAAAGAGACTGGGGATGACCTTAGGTCCCACAGTATTGCGTCACTGAGGCAGCGAGCTCAAGAGCACAATGCCGCAGTCAAGCATCTTCAAGAACAAGAGGCCATGATGATACAGGTGTATAAAAATAAAGAATCGAAGGAAAGGAAGCTTTCCGACAGTGGATCCGAAGGAGAAACCGATTTGGAAGATATGTGATTAGAAATGAAGAAATAACAGTCCTAAAATTAGAATCTTAGAATAACATATCGACTGTGATGTATAGAGGAATTTTTCGATTGACCGTCATAAAACTAAAAGCAAAGTAGTCTCAGGAGCCAATCATAGCAAGGAAAATGTCACTAGGAGCCAATGAGGAACTTGAAAACTGTCTGAAGCGCGGGAAAACGCGGGTGATCTAGTCGCGATTAACTTAAGTTTTGAATCTGATTGGTCAAGAAAGTGGCACGACTTTTTTAGACCAATCACAGAAAATAAAGCAAAACCAAAGCATTGTGGGACTACTTTCAACATTCAATTGAACATTTCTCTATCAAGCCATTCAAGACTAGGCACGAATTAACAGAATGGCGGGAAAATTGGAAGAAATGGAAAATCTTTCTCGCCAAAACTGAAACCAACAGTAAAAAAGCAGGAAAATATTACGACGGACACAAAAGCAGTGTCCCTCCGAGCCTCAACTAATAAAACACAATGCATATGTAATCTATGGCCTGGTAAAGGATTTTACATCAATGCTTACAAGAATTAATCATTTGTGCACAATGAAAAAAAATTATTATTACTCAGTGCAAAGTGTGTAGGATGCTCATGCTTCTAAGAGCCTGTTACAAAATGAAATGAGCTAAAACATTTTTATCTTGTACATAGTTACAATAAAATAAAGTGTTCTCTGAGTCACTGCCACCGACAAAAGTCCATTTCAGGACTACTCTCATGATCACTCGAACGCTAAGGTCACACGATAACTAAATTATAGAAGTGTACTTTGTAAATGACGAAGAGCCTGTCCACAGAGAAATGCTGTATGGAAGCTTAATGGTATACAGTTTGGAAAATAAAAGCCTAGAGGTGTTTGAGACGAGCATGGCGAACAAAGGGCGAATGTAATTGCTTTTAGAAAGGACCTGCTTCAACGTGTTCAATAAACCAAGAGAGTCTTTTTTTTTTTTTAATATTTCAAAACTAAAATCTACACAGAAAAAAATTCACAGAATACACGTATTTAGGTGCCGAGTGCGTCTCAGAAACTTCAATAGTATTTATCAGATATTTGTAAATAAAACGCTTCAACTTTATTGTGTTGTTTTGATTCGAAGTCTCTTCTTAGGACTCATCTGAAAAAACGACACGGAGCATTCTAAAGATCGAAACTAAGGCAGGTCTAAAACTTTTTTTTGCTTCTAGAAGAGCTCTGCTGAGACTTCGACTTGACCCTAACACGTGTCTGCATTAAACAGGTTATGATAAATTGCACAGGCCAGGGTTATGACAAACCAAACTCTTCGGTATGTTACAGCCTTCCATTTTAATCTTACATCATGTACATCATGTAATGGCTACGTTATTTTCATCTGAACCTCTGAACCTTCATCGTTTATGACATGCTTGGGGGGGAAGTTCTGTTTCACGACAGTTTGAGGTTTTGCTCTCGAGGCTTCAATTACAGAAATATTTATCTGACACAGGACGAAATCACATGTTTCCGTATTTCTGGGCGGAAACATGCAACTCCATGTTTCCGTTATGTTTAACATGCACAAAAAGTGGTCCGGTTCCGTTGTATACGCAGCAACGGAAACGCGATGCGTCACGGGTAACGGAAACACAGGTTATCCGTCGTGTTTCCAAACAAATATACTTTAAAACGTCCTGTGTGAGATGCTTCCTATTCCAGTGTGAGACAAAGATAGTTGGCCGTTCTGAAAAATGTTTCCTTAACCAAGTAACCTAAATTTTCCCAGACACAGTATACTGTTTATATGTTTGATTCTTGTGACATTAGGATGCCTGCACCCCCGCAGAAACAGAAGGCTCGTAATGGAAGCTTGGCCTTCCTGTGGCCACTAAGGGTGGGTTCTCAATATTTCGTTGCATGCCGCACGTGGTGACGGTTGCTGTGGTGTCACTGATTTGGAGACTACATTCCCGTGGCACACTTGTAATGGCAGCTCTAACTGAGTGAAGTTTTGTTCCACCATTTCTATTGCTTGTCGAGCTTCAGGTCTCACTCCACTCCGTCTTGGTCTACACAGATTCCTTGCAATTTCTTCGGCCTCTTGGAAACCTTTTTTCGACAGCAATTCAATGAATGCGACGAGAAATTGTTTGTTTCGAGAAACGTGTATAATCGGGTTGACAGTAGAAATCAATTGTATAAATCCAAACACGAAATGACGAACTGTAGTTTTTTCACTTTCCGAAAACTTTTCTCCGAATAGAAACCATGTGGTGGATATAAGACCCATTGGCAAAATGAAAAATAGCAAAACTGTCACTATTATCAAAGTGGTTGACTTCAAGGCCTTTTTCTCTCCCTTGAATTTGGCTTTGGCCTCCTCAGAAACTTGACAGGCAAGAATCCGCTTTTCATGGCGTCTGGCTTCCTTATACACGAGGACCTGAAGGCAGATGATTGAACTCAACAATATTATTGAGAAAACTGCGACTAGGATCATTGTCGCCCTAGCGAAAAAAAAGTAAACAAGAATGCCCGGGATCCAGGCGCAGACTGATAAAACTATAACACGCGTTTTAGTGAACATTTTGTGATGTGTGAAAGAGTACTTGATTGTGAGGTATCGTTCTCCGCATATCAAAACCAAGTGACATACTACAGAATGGCAAATTAGTGAGAAGGAGAAGCTAAAAGCCAGATTTACTTGGCAAAACTCGTGAAAACCTTTTCTCTGCAGCATAAAAATTGTCATAACTCCATGCAGAGGTTGAACAACCATCCCAGTCACTAGATCAGTAAGCGCTAAAGATGCCAAAAACATGTTGGAGTGAGTCTGAAGACGTCGTTTCGTTTTGACGGCCAAAATAATCATCGCGTTCAAAAACCAGGTGAACGGACAGGCGACGATGCTGAGAAGAGCCGCTACGATCAGAATACTGTGTGTTAGATCAGAAAAATTGTATCGGAGACGAACTGGAAACAATAAATGATCACAGCTGTTTTCAAGGCCAACCGAAGAGGACCGATTCATTTTCGCCACACAGCAGAGTGCGTTTTTCGATAACTGTCTTCGCTTAAACGAGAACTCTTGCAACTGAAAATCGCAAAGAAAGTGCGTTGCTTTTGAAGCTGAGAAGATAAAGAGAAGAAAGAAGTGAAGTGGACGTAAATGCAAATGTATTTCCTTTATCAGGGGCGCACTGAAAAAAAAGTTGAAAAATTGACAAATACTTGTGAAAAAACTCCTCGCGGCTGGTATTCACGAGTTACAACAGAGACGATGAAAAATGTTTCAAATACTTATGACAAAATTTCTCGTGGCTAGAACGATACCAGCCACGAATGTTTTTTTTTCACAAGTACCAGATGTTGCCAAAGAAACAAAATTTATTGTGTCGGTGAATGAATTTGCCGACGAAGAACTTGAAGCCAGGAAACTCGGATATCTCTGTTGTTATTAATGTAATTAACAAATACAGGATCACGTTAAGCGGAAAGCAATTAGCTGGGAAATGCGGTTTGAACGCATGCCACACCGAGTGGCCTTATGTGGTCGATATTTTGTATTGGTCGCTAGTAGAGGGACTAATTACCGCCGGCTCAACTTTCATCTGTCAAAAATCGGCGGTTTCGTTACTCTGAGGCCATGTAATATGGGTCAATTTTTTCCAGCGGATATCTTAAAAACTCCCAAAGTATTGGTAAATGGTGCTTGTATTCCATTAGCAGTACAAGATTGAATAGATATGGTTGTTACACTGAGTACTCGCTAATGATTTATATCCAGCCAGACTAGCTGAAAGCCTTTTCTTATGAGATAAGAAGTAAGCAGTAAAAAAGGCTTTCACCGACTCCATAAATGTTTCTCTCAGAGTTTCTGTAGGTTCAAGAAACTGAAGTGTTTTTTACCCCGCGAAAGAGGAAAGTCCTTTTGCGACCTCATGTTTATATTTGTCTTTTTCCAAGCCTCCTTTCGACACTCTCTCGCTGAGAAGGTCATCGGTAAACAGTTCGAACCGAAATAATGGCAATTTAGTGTTCCTTTTTCTGCCTTTCAGTCTTTGACTATAGTCATGTGCTTCATCTGCCCACACGCACCTAAATGGCGTACTCTTGATCGACTCTTGATCCAACTTAACACCTAGTACAAGCTACTGAATATTCTACGGTGATATTTTTGCATCAAAATCCGGCATTAACTTCAGTCACCTTGAAATTTCCATGGACAATGAATGGCGCAAGCTTCTGATTCTCACGTCAATCTCGTCTAATGTGAGGTTCGGTGGGTAGTGAAAAGAACTTACTTATGATCTTGAAAGAAATATATGTTATTCACTAGACGGGAGGTCCTTATTAGGAAAAACTGTGCCCGAGGTCTTGGATACGGTACACAAGACAGAGAGCACAGTTTTTCCCAATACGGACCGACCTTGGCTGGTGAATAACATTTTTTGCTTTTTTCTAAAACCTAACAAATGGTTGTAAAAAGAACCGCCTGCTGCGGATGGGGAGAATACTGCCCGCTCTCGGAACCAATCAGATTACAGGATTTGTGGAATACCGCCCGCTCACGAACTGAGAAAAAAAGTAAAATATATAAATATTCAAGAGTAGAATATCCAGTTAGCGTTCCATGATTCGAACGAAAGCATATCTTAAATGTAGGGACGTGCGGTGCGTGCTAGGAATGTGAGTGTAATAAAACGAACGCGCGTGGCGAAATTTTGGCCAGTGAGTAGAAGCTATTAGTTTTTTATTCATAACCACGAAAAGTGTTGGGGTCACAGCTCCATAATGGCCGAGTACGGGTTGTATGGAGCGATGGTACGACACTCCTTACCCCTTCCCCCTCATCTCACGTCTGACTCGGCCCCATGACTGCTCGGCATGCATAAAAAAGCAAAGCTCATGGAAGATAAAATCAAGGTAGAGACTTCGAAAGAGACTGGGGATGACCTCAGGTCCCACAGCATTGCGTCACTGAGGTAGCGAGCTCAAGAGCACAATGCCGCAGTCAAGCATCTTCAAGAACAAGAGACCATGATGATACAGGTGTATAAAAATAAAGAATCGAAGGAAAGGAAGCTTTCCGACAGAGGATCCGAAGGAGAAACCGATTTGGAAGATATGTGATTAGAAATGAAGAAATAACAGTCCTAAAATTAGAATCTTAGAATAACATATCGACTGTGATGTATAGAGGAATTTTTCGATTGACCGTCATAAAACTAAAAGCAAAGTAGTCTCAGGAGCCAATCATAGCAAGGAAAATGTCACTAGGAGCCAATGAGGAACTTGAAAACTGTCTGAAGCGCGGGAAAACGCAGGTGATCTAGTCGCGATTAACTTCTGTTTTGAATTTGATTGGTCAATAAAGTGGCACGACTTTTCTAGACCAATCACAGAAAATAAAGCAAAACCAAAGCATTGTGGGACTACTTTCAACATTTAATTGAAAATTTCTCTATCAAGCCATTCAAGACTAGGCACGAAGTAACAGAATGGCGGGAAAATTGGGAGAAATGGAAAATCTTTCTCGCCAAACCTGAAACCAAAAAACAAAAAGCAGGAAAATATTACGACGGACACAAAAGCAGTGTCCCTCCGAGCCTTAACTAACAAAACACAATACATTTAGATTATTGAAAAAGGGTTTTACATCAGTGCTTACAAGAATTGATCATCTGTGCACAATGAAAAAAAGTTATCATTACTAAGTGCAAAGTATATAGGATGTTCACGCTTCTAAAAGCCTGTTACAAAATGAAATGAGCTAAAAATTTTATCTTGTACATAGTCACAATAAAATAAAGTGTTCCCTGAGTCACTGCCACCGACAAAAGTCCATTTCAGGGCCACTCTTATGATCACTCGAACGCTAAGGTCACACGACAACTAAATTATAGAAGCGTACTTTGTAAATGACGAAGAGCCTGTCCACAGAGAAATGCTGTATGGGAACCTAATGGTATACAGTTTGTAAAATAAAAGCTTAGAGGTGTTTGAGACGAGCATAGCGAACAAAGGGCGAATGTAATTGCTTTTAGCAAGGACCTGCTTCAACGTGTTCAATAAACCAACTGGAGAGTCTTTTTTTTAATATTTCAAAACTAAAATCCTCACAGAAAAAAAATTCAGAGAATACTCGTATTTAAGTGCCGAATGCGTCTTAGAAACTTCAATAGCATTTATCTGATATTTGTAAATAAATCGCTTCAAAGATATTGTATTGTTTTGATTCTCTTCTTAGGACTCATCTGAAAAACGACAAGGAGCATTGTTAAGATAGAAACCAAGGCAGGTCTGAAACTTTTTTTGCTTCCACAAGAGCTCTGCTGAGACTTCAACTTGACCCTAGTACGTATTTGCATTAAACAGGTTGTGATAAATTGCACAGGCCAGGGTTATGACAAACCAAACTCTTCGGTATGTTACAGCCGCCCATTGTAATCTTTTAAGATTTAAAAATCATGTAATGGCTACGTTATATCATCTGAAGTTCTGAACCTTCATCGTTTCTGCAAGTTCTGTTACGACAGACTCCGAAATAGAAATTTTATGACATGCTTGGGTGGGGGAAATTTGGTGCGTTTCATTCAAGAGTAGTTTGAGGGTTTGCACCCCTACTCGAGGCTTCAGGTAAGCGTTACAGTTAACAAATATACTAAAAACGCTATCTGAGATGCTTCCTATTCCAGTGTGAGACAAAGATAGTCGGCCGTTCTGAAAAATGTTTCCTTTATCGAGTAACCTAAATCTTCGCAGACACAGTTTTCTGTTTGTATGTTTCATTTTTGTGATAATAGGATGCCTGCACCCTCGCAGAAACAGAAGGCTCATGGTGGAAGGTTGGGCTTCCTGTGGCCACCAAGGGTTCTCAATATTTCGTTGCATGAACGTTGTGATAGTTGCTGTGGTGTTACTGATTTGAAGGCTTCATTTCTCGTGGCACACTAGTAATGGCAGCTTGAACTGAGTGAAGTTCTGTTACACCATTTCTATTCCTTGTCGAGCTTCAGGTCTCACTCCAACGCGTCTTGGTCTACACAGATTCCTTGCAATTTCTTCGGCCTCTTGGAAACCTTTTCTTGACAGCAATTCAATAAATGCGACGAGAAATTGTTTGTTTCGACAAACGTGTATAATCGGGTTGACAGTAGAAATCAATTGTATTAATCCAAACACGAAATGACGAACTGTAGTTTTTTCGCTTTCCGAAAACTTTTCTCCGAATAGAAACCATGTGGCGGCCATTAGACCTATTGGCAAAATGAAAAATAGCAAAATTATCACTATCATCAAAGTGGTTGACTTCAAGGCCTTTTTTTCTCCCTTGAATTTGGCTTTGGCCTCCTCAGAAACTTGACAGGCAAGAATCCGCTTTTCATGGCGTCTGGCTTCCTTATACACGAGGACCTGAAGGCAGATGATTGAACTCAACAATGCTATTGTGACAACTGTGACTGGAATCCTTGTTGCCCTGGACAAAAAGAAGTAAACAAGAATGCCCGGGATCCAGGCGCAAGCTGATAAAACTATAACACGCGTTTTAGTGAGCATTTCGTGATGTGTGAAAGAGTATTTGATTGTGAGGTATCGTTCTCCGCATATCAAAACCAAGTGACATAATACAGAATGGCAAATTAGTGAGAAGGAGAAGCTAAAAGCCAGATTTACTTGGCAAAACTCGTGAAAACCTTTTCTCTGCAGCATAAAAATTGTCATAACTCCATGCAAAGGTTGAACAATCATCCCAGTCACTAGATCAGTAAGCGCTAAAGATGCCAAAAACATGTTGGAGTGAGTTTGAAGACGTCGTTTGGTTTTGACGGCCAAAATAACCATCGCGTTCAAAAACCAGGTGAACGGACAGGCGACGATGCTGAGAAGAGCCGCTACGATCAGATTACTGTGTGTTAGATCGGAAAAATTGTATCGGAGACGAACTGGAAAAAATAAATGATCACAGCTGTTTTCAAGGCCAACCGAAGAGGACCGATTCATTTTCGCCACACAGCAGAGTGCGTTTTTCGATAATTGTCTTCGCTTAAACGAGAACTCTTGCAACTGAAAATCGCAAAGAAAGTGCGTTGCTTTTGAAACTGAGAAGATAAAGAGAAGAAAGAAGTGAAGTGGACGTAAATGCAAATGTATTTTCTTTATCAGGGGCGCACCGAAAGTTGAAAAATTGACAAATACTTGTGAAAAAACTTCTCGTGGTTGGTATTCATGAGTTACAACAGAGACGATGAAAAATGTTTCAAATACTTATGACAAAATTTCTCGTGGCTGGAACGATACCAGCCACAACTGTTTTTTTTCACAAGTACCAAATGTTGCCAAAGAAACAAAATTTATTGTGTTGATGAATGAATTTGCCGACGAAGAACTTGAAGCCAGGAAACTCGGATATCTCTGTTGTTATTAATGTAATTAACAAATACAGGATCACGTTAAGCAGAAAGCAATTAGCTGGGAAATGCGGTTTGAACGCATGCAACACCGAGTGGCCTTATGTGGTCGATATTTTGTATTGGTAATTACCGCCGACTCGACTTTCATCTGTCAAAAATCGGCGGTTTCGTTACTCTGAGGCCATGTGATATGGGTCAATTTTCTAGTGGATATTATAAAAACTATCAACGTATCTGTAAATGGTGCTTGTATTCCATTAGCAGTACAAGATCGAATAGATATGGTCGTTACACTGAGTGCTGGCTAATGATTTATATCCAGCCTAACCTGCTGAAAGCCCTTTCTTATGAGATAAGAAGTAAGCAGTAAAAAAGGCTGTTACCGACTCCATAAATGTTTCTCTCAGAGCTTCTGTAGGTTCAAGAAACTGAAGTGTTTTTTACCCCGCGAAAAGAGGAAAGTCCTTTTGCGACCTCATGTTTATATTTGTCTATTTCCAAGCCTCCTTTCGACACTCTCTCGCTGAGAAGGTCATCAGTAAACAGTTCGAACCTAAATAATGACAATTTAGTGTTCCTTTTTCTGCCTTTCAGTCTTTGACTATAGTCATGTGCTTCATCTGCCCACACGCACCTAAATGGCGTACTCTTGATCCAACTTAACACCCAGTACAAGCTACTGAATATTCTACGGTGATATTTTTGCATCAAAATCCGGCATTAACTTCAGTCACCTTGAAATTTCCATGGACAATAAATGGCGCAAGCTTCTGATTCTCACGTCAATCTCGTCTAATGTGAGGTTCGGTGGGTAGTGAAAAGAACTTACTTATGATCTTGAAAGAAATATATGTTATTCACTAGACGGGAGGTCCCTATTGGGAAAAACTGTGCCCGAGGTCTTGGATACGGTACACAAGACAGAGAGCACAGTTTTTCCCAATACGGACCGACCTTGGCTGGTGAATAACATTTTTTGCTTTTTTCTAAAACCTAACAAATGGTTGTAAAAAGAACCGCCTGCTGCGGATGGGGAGAATACTGCCCGCTCTCGGAACCAATCAGACTACAGGATTTGTGGAATACCGCCCGCTCACGAACTGAGAAAAAAAGTAAAATATATAAATATTCAAGAGTAGAATATCCAGTTAGCATTCCATAATTCGAACGAAAGCATATCTTAAATGTAGGGACGTGCGGTGCGTGTTAGGAATGTGAGTGTAATAAAACGAACGCGCGTGGCGAAATTTTGGCCAGTGAGTGAAGCTATTAGTTTTTTATTCATAACCACGAAAAGTGTTGGGGTCACAGCTCCATAATGGCCGAGTACGGGTTGTATGGAGCGATGGTACGACACTCCTTACCCCTACCCCCTCATCTCACGTCTAACACGGCCCTATGGCTGCTCGGCATGCATAAAAAAGCAAAGCTCATGGAAGATAAAATCAAGGTAGAGACTTCGAAAGAGACTGGGGATGACCTTAGGTCCCACAGTATTGCGTCACTGAGGCAGCGAGCTCAGGAGCACAATGCCGCAGTCAAGCATCTTCAAGAACAAGAGGCCATGATGATACAGGTGTATAAAAATAAAGAATCGAAGGAAAGGAAGCTTTCCGACAGTGGATCCGAAGGAGAAACCGATTTGGAAGATATGTGATTAGAAATGAAGAAATAACAGTCCTAAAATTAGAATCTTAGAATAACATATCGACTGTGATGTATAGAGGAATTTTTCGATTGACCGTCATAAAACTAAAAGCAAAGTAGTCTCAGGAGCCAATCATAGCAAGGAAAATGTCACTAGGAGCCAATGAGGAACTTGAAAACTGTCTGAAGCGCGGGAAAACGTGGGTGATCTAGTCGCGATTGACTTAAGTTTTGAATCTGATTGGTCAAGAAAGTGGCACGACTTTTTTAGACCAATCACAGAAAATAAAGCAAAACCAAAGCATTGTGGGACTACTTTTAACATTCAATTGAAAATTTCTCTATCAAGCCATTCAAGACTAGGCACGAATTAACAGAATGGCGGGAAAATTGGAAGAAATGGAAAATCTTTCTCGCCAAAATTGAAACCAACAGACAAAAAGCAGGAAAATATTACGACGGACACAAAAGTAGTTTCCCTCCGAGCCTCAACTAATAAAACACAATGCATATGTAATCTATGGCCTGGTAAAGGATTTTACATCAATGCTTACAAGAATTAATCATTTGTGCACAATGAAAAAAAGTTATTATTACTCAGTGCAAAGTATGTAGGATGCTCATGCTTCTAAGAGCCTGTTACAAAATGAAATGAGCTAAAACATTTTTATCTTGTACATAGTTACAATAAAATAAAGTGTTCTCTGAGTCACTGCCACCGACAAAAGTCCATTTCAGGACTACTCTCATGATCACTCGAACGCTAAGGTCACAAGATAACTAAATTATAGAAGTGTACTTTGTAAATGACGAAGAGCCTGTCCACAGAGAAATGCTGTATGGAAGCTTAATGGTATACAGTTTGGAAAATAAAAGCTTAGAGGTGTTTGAGACGAGCATGGCGAACAAAGGGCGAATGTAATTGCTTTTAGAAAGGACCTGCTTCAACGTGTTTAATAAACCAAGAGAGTCTTTTTTTTTTAATATTTCAAAACTAAAATCTACACAGAAAAAAATTTACAGAATACACGTATTTAGGTGCCGAGTGCGTCTCAGAAACTTCAATAGTATTTGTAGATACTTGTAGATATTTGTAAATAAAACGCTTCAACTTTATTGTGTTGTTTTGATTCGAAGTCTCTTCTTAGGACTCATCTGAAAAAACGACACGGAGCATTCTAAAGATCGAAACTAAGGCAGGTCTAAAACTTTTTTTTGCTTCTAGAAGAGCTCTGCTGAGACTTCGACTTGACCCTAACACGTGTCTGCATTAAACAGGTTATGATAAATTGCACAGGCCAGGGTTATGACAAACCAAACTCTTCGGTATGTTACAGCCTTCCATTTTAATCTTACATCATGTACATCATGTAATGGCTACGTTATTTCATCTGAAGTTCTGAACCTTCATCGTTTCTGCAAGTTCTGTTACGACAGACTCCGAAATAGAAATTTTATGACATGCTTGGGTGGGGGACATTAGGTGCGTTTCACTCAAGAGTAGTTTGAGGGTTTGCACCCCTTCTCGATGCTTCAGGTAAGCGTTACAGTTAACAAATATGCTAAAAACGCTATCTGAGATGCTTCCTATTCCAGTGTGAGACAAAGATAGTCGGCCGTTCTGAAAAATGTTTCCTTTATCGATTAACCTAAATCTTCGTAGACACAGTTTTCTGTTTGAATGTTTCATTTTTGTGATGATAGGATGCCTGCACCCTCGCAGAAACAGAAGGCTCATGGTGGAAGGTTGGGCTTCCTGTGGCCACTAAGGCCTTTTCTTGACAGCAATTCAATAAATGCGACGCCAAACCTGAAACCAAAGCCTTAACTAACAAAACACAATACATTTAGATTATTGAAAAAGGGTTTTACATCAGTGCTTACAAGAATTGATCATCTGTGCACAATGAAAAAAAGTTATCATTACTAAGTGCAAAGTATATAGGATGTTCACGCTTCTAAAAGCCTGTTACAAAATGAAATGAGCTAAAAAGTTTATCTTGTACATAGTCACAATAAAATAAAGTGTTCCCTGAGTCACTGCCACCGACAAAAGTCCATTTCAGGGCCACTCTTATGATCACTCGAACGCTAAGGTCACACGACTAAATTATAGAAGCGTACTTTGTAAATGACGAAGAGCCTGTCCACAGAGGAAATACTGTATATGGGAACTTAATGGTATACAGTTTGTAAAATAAAAGCTTAGAGGTGTTTGAGACGCGTATGGCGAACAAAGGGCGAATGTAGCTGCTTTTAGAAAGGGCCTGCTTCAACGTGTTCAATAAACCAATTGGAGAGTCTTTTTTTAATATTTCAAAACTAAAATCTACACAGGAAAAAAATTCAGAGAATACTCGTATTTAAGTGCCAAATGCATCTCAGAACTTCAATAGTATTTGTCAGATATTTGTAAATAAAACGCTTCAACGTTATTGTGTTGTTTTGATTCGAAGTCTCTTCTTAGGATTCTTCTGAAAAACGACAAGGAGCATTGTTAAGATCGAAATCAAGGCAGGTATAAAACTTTTTTTTGCTTCTACAAGAGCTCTGCTGAGACTTCGACTTGACCTTAGTACGTGTCTGCATTAAACAGGTTGTGATAAATTGCACAGGCCAGGGTTATGACAAACCAAACTCTTCGGTATATTACAGTGTTCGTTGTAATCTTAAATCATGTAAGGGCTACGCTGTTTCATCTGAAGCTCTGAACCTTGATCTTTTCTGCAAGTTCTGTTACGACGGACTCCAAAAGAAAATTTTTATGACATGCTGGTGGGGGGGGGATTAGGTGCGTTTCACTAGAGAGTAGTTTGAGGTTTTGCACCCCTACTCAAGGCTGAAGGTAAGCGTTACAGTTGACTAGTATACTGAAAACACTAGCTGAGATGCTTCCTATTCCAGTGTGAGACAAAGATAGTCGGCCGTTCTGAAAAATGTTTC